TGTATCAGCCCTTCATCAGACCAGACTAGGAGAGCCATGCAGGCTTCCTGTCCCTCAAGGCCATTCCCTCTGTCCACGACAAGTTGTTGGGGAACAGACACACAACTATTGGTCATCTTTGCTGGAGCTGTCAGAAGCTGGACTTTAGCTTGAGTGATGCAATAGCTGTTGTCACCCTGGGAAGACCCAGCTTCAGGAGCACCAGCCTCTCACTTGGCCGACCTCACCAGAAGGTGAGGTGGGAATAAAATGAAGGATGGTCCAAAGTATGCCACCTTGAGCTCATTAGATGAATACGATGAGAAGATAAATGTAAGAAATTAGTATGCCATAAACTTCTGAAAGGGCCCATGTTCTCCACCCGTCTTTTCAAATATGCCAGAGGGGCACTTCTGACCTATTCTGTGTGTGTGGTTCCGTGCCCACTTTTTCCAAGAAGGGCAAATTATGTGGACAGGTTGAGTGCTGAAAACAACCGAGTTCAAGGCCTACCTTGCAAGAGTTTCAAAGAGAAAAGATGGAGACTTTAGAGACAGGACTGCAAATCCGACTCATTTTCAGGAAGACAAACGAAAGGATCCGAGAACCATTTGGATAAAAGACAGCCCATATAATCCGTAATCGCTGTTAAGCCGCGGAGCCAACGTTAATGGAGAGATGCACAATTTTCCAAAAGTAACCATCAGCTTGCTTTTGGATGCCAAGTTCAAAAGCGATTCTGCAACTCTAATGCAGGGAGTGGCACGACACGGTCATGGCGGGGAGGGCGGGGGGGGGGAAGAACAGATGAAAATCCATTACTAGATTTGGTATCATTTCAAGCACTTAAGTGTTCTTCCTCAACACTAGACTGCTGACAAAAAACCCAGCTTCGCAAGGCGCCATTCCTAATGGCTGGACTGGTTTTGAGGGCCTTGGCGAGTCGGTGGCCCCACCCACTTGATATTTGAAAAAGAAAAGCGGGGGGGACGAAAATGAAGGTTGCATAAGAGCTGAGTTCCATAATTCATATTCAGGATATTCCACAAGGGAGACACTCATCGGTACTTACAGATACCATTTAAGAAAATGCATCTTCTTGACTCCTCCAAGCACTTACGGGTTTGGGTGGAGGGGGAGCCATGCATTGTCTTCAATTAAGGGACACCTTTGAGTTCATTAACAAACAGGCCAAATGTTCTTTTGGCACAGAGCCTCTGATCCACATCAACGTTCATCTGGACCTTCACGAGCGCCGCATCGCTCCCTCCCTTTCTCAGCCCAAAGGGCGTTTTACCATTCCATTTTTCCTTAGGTTCCTGCCTTGAATCTCTGGAGGTGTATTTTAAAAGATGCCATCTTCCCACTGCCCCCTCTCCTTTTCTTCCTTCCCTTCCGGCTTTCAGCAACAACCCCGTCGCCCCCCTCCGTGTTGTCACTTTCGCAGATGGGATCGACTTGGGGGGGGGAGGAAATAAATGGCAAGAGCAGATGCCAGGAGGACTTGGGAGGTAAATTTAAGGAGCTAGACTGTCGATCTCCCGGTTTGCAGGAAGGCCCAGGACTGGGTTGCGATCTGGATGGTAAAGCCAGCGGAAAGGAATGAGAATTGACGAAAGAGAGAGAGGAGCGAAAGAATCAGAGAGTTGCACAATCTGTTGACTTTTGGAGTCTAAGTCACAGGGGGAAAAGATATGATTAATAGGAGACCCGGATAATTTCTGGAGGCAACCGCGTTTTAGGCAGGTGCATGAGCAGGAAAGGTTGGGCGGAAAGGGGACTTTTCATACTTTCATCAAACCATAGACAAACTAAGGGAATCTTCGCTCCGAATTTCTGCAGGGAAACGAGAATGTTCTCCGATCATCTTTCCTACTTTCATCAAACCATAGACAAACTAAGTGAACGATCGCTCTGAATTTCTGCAGGGAAACAAAAATGTTCTCCGATCATCTCTCCAAAGCACGACTCCCCTTTTTAGACACTGCTCCCCAAAAGACCTGCTGGGAAGAACTTCCTAGGATTGAACAAAAGCGTGGGAAATTGGGGAGACTGCGGCCTGGGAAGAAGACGACGAAACAAAAAAGGAGACGTTTGCACACAGACCCTTGCCCACTTCCATTGCTCCAACCCCGTCTTCTCCTTGGAGCAACGTTGCTGAAGCAAGTTCTCTTTCACTCGCTGACCAAGCAGGAACCCATCCATCGTGGACAATCAAGCCACCTTATTGGTGCCATCAACCATAATCACTTCCAGAATTTTAAGCCGAGGCCTCTGAATTGCAACCGCGGGACAATCCAAGTGTAAGGAACATCCGGTTCTCATCCTTGTGTATTTATTTGTTTGTTCAATTTATATAGCCAACCATCTCACGTACGTGACTCTGGGCGGTTCGGAAGAGGTACTCGGCTGTCTGGAGAAATGGGACTGTGCTGTATGGCAGCAGTTCTCAAGCTGGGGCCCCCTGGGGGCCCTTGGATATCCCAAGGGGGCCACAGGTAAAAAGCATGTGCCGAGGGAGCCGCAGTAAAGCAAAGCAGATGCTGTCTTTATTATAAATAAAAATATGTATTCTATTTATAAGCCAAGTGTGTAAAGTGGCAATGAAATGTGGAGAGGTGGGCCACGGGAATAAAACAAGGTGGAAAGGGGGCTGGTGGCCAAAAAAAGGTAGAAAAATACAGTGTTTGGGACAGACGTGTGATCCAGCCCAGCCTCTCCCTTTCTCTGAGTTACCACCTCGATGTGCAACTGAACCACGCGCACGGTTGCGGACGCATGTGCGCTCCGAGCTTGCTGTGAAAAGACGATCCATTGTCCCGGGAATTTAAACTCTGGCACTGCAGCACCTTAACTTTGGTGGGGGAGAAAAAGAGAAGAGGCGGCGATTCGGCCATTGGGAGCTACGGGGTTCAAAGAGGCGCCCCGACGTGACATCAGGACAAAGTTCATTGCAGAAGACCGAGGACTCGTTTGCCGCGAAGAAAAACTGTTTATAAGCCAAGCAGAAAGCGAGCAAAATGTGTTTTCCACGTAAGAGGACACCAGACAGACTTTGATACAAAACCCGGAAATGTATCATGTGGAATTTGTTTTTATTATAGAGAGAGTGTAAAATGCAACTGTCAGTCAAATAAAAAGAACATTTTTGTTTAAAACATCATGCTCAACATTTTCCAATTGTGTTTCTGTATACAGTTAGACATTTCAAGCATTATAAAGAAATGGGAGGGGGGGGAGGGAAGATCCTAAAACAGTAACTTCAGTACAATTCAAAACGGAATGTCCCGCAGATCAATTAAAAATGTCAAGAAAAAAATAGCTTTACTTCCGTTTTTTTTTTTTCTCTTTAAAAATACACTGTTATCTGTACAAGAAAACACTACAATAAACACTGGAAACCATATTATCCCTTTTATTAAATCAAAAAATTATTCGGAGCATACCTATGGTTAATACTAGATTTCATTTTATTTCCTTTAGGTAAAATTTGACAAATATTAAGGTAAGAAAATACTTAAAAACAAAGGAAAAATAAAAAGCAAAAAGCATACACACACCCTGGAATTAAAAAATAGTTACTACTATTTTATAGGATTTAATGTTCCACAGTGCTTGTTAAAGATACTAATAGCAGTTTCATCTTAATATTAAAAATAACAGTATTTATTTCTGAAATAGACAAAAGGTATTTTGTATTTTTTCGTTTTTTAGAGAAGCTTGGAGGTCTTAGATATACAAATGCAACCAAACAATGGAGACATAGAAAGAAAAATAGTATCACTAAAAAATTAACACATTGTTTTTATATTACCCCTTTAGATCTCTAGAAATTATACAGCCCCCTACAAAATTCCCCCCACAATAAACGAACTCGACAGCAAACAGTAACTGTCTTGATAAAGAATTCACATAATTAATTACAATACATAGCATAATTCAGTTTCTTCTTTTAAAAAATGCAATAAAATCAAAAAAAGACAGCCAAGGTACAAGAAATTAGAAGTAAAATATTTAATGAATTTACATATTTAAGAATATTTAAATACTGTTTTTTTTTAAAATTTCATTTTTTTTTCTTT